ATAATTCAACATCCAGATCCAAGGGCCGTTTGGGTAAATGAGAGAAAATGTATTTCCGTAGTTAAAAAAAAATTAGCACCATTACAGACTACATCAGTAGATACTAATACAAAAAACTTTGATTCCCATCAATGGATACCGGTAATATACAATAACTGGATCACTTAATCAATGATTTTCCTTAAAAGAAAATCTAAATTCAGTCACAATAACTTTGGTAGCATATCCAAATGTTGCAACATTATGTTACGCTTAAATAGAGTTAATTGTGATAACAAATTAAGGGAGACGGGTTTTTACTGAATGTAGCAAATTTTTGAACTATAAGAAATGTAATTTCGTAGAGGCGTCACTAGAGTTGGTAGGCTAAAGCGTCACTAGGGTTGGTAGGCTAAAGCGTCACTAGGGTTGGTAGGCTATCACCCGAAACGTAAACTCATTTCACCCCCTTTATTAAAACGATCCTCCCCCCCCCCCCCCCCCCCNTGTACCGAGTAATTCATAAGCAGATCATAAAAAGAATTGCTTATAGTTTTATTCGTCAATTAAGTACTAAAGCAACAAGCAAAAAAACCAACAACATACACTTTGAGGTAATAGCGTTTGGGCAACGACGACATTTCTTTAAAGTATATTTAATTAAAATTTGTTAATAATTTACAGATAAAATCTTACTTTCCTGGTCTTCAAAGTTGTCAATCGCTTCATAAATCAACATTCCCCTCCCCCCCCAATGTCACTTTCAACGGATAAAATGGCAAGACCAGAAAGCCTGGAATGTTCCGTGATAGATGACAAACAGTTCTATGGAAGATTCAGTTTTGAAAAGAACCTCTCACAAGAAGCCACATGCACACCGATCACGGGGAATAACCGTATAGGCTTAATTGAGAGGATTGGGAGAGATTGATTACCACCTTGCTCAGGTGGGGACATGCCCTGTTCTGGTACCGGTAGCACGCTGTGACGCTGATGGCACCCTGTTCTGGTACCGGTAGCACGCTGTGACGCTGATGGCACCCTGTTCTGGTACCTGTAGCACGCTGTGACGCTGATGGCACCCTGTTCTGGTACCTGTAGCAACTTGCGCTACCAACACACTCATCTATTATAAATGTACAATCTTTGTGATAAACATTAACAACAGAACCGTCCGGGGCTGTAACCCATTTCGCCCTCCTTAGAGATACGCCATTTGTGATGCCGGTACCTACTCCCGTAGGCAGAGCAGTCGGGTGGGCCCTGTAACATAACCCCTGCCTCGTAATTAAGGGCCCCAAAGTTGTGATGTGAAACAAAAATAACAAACAAACTTTGAATGCAGGTGAAACAAGGACGAAAAGTTGCGAAACGGGGGAATCTGAAGTCGGGTGACCGTTAATACCGTAGGTCCCTGTTTTAACCATTAAAATGATGTAAATTAATGCAGTGGAGAAGCTAGGATTAATGTCAACAAGGGCGAACCAAGATTTTTGCCACCCTTTCATGAAAAAAAAACCCTCTGCCTCTGCATTCGGCCACAAATGCCTTACCTTCATGTAAAGAGAAAAAAAGCGCAAACTGGGCCGACCGCCCGCCCCCTTCCTACGCTAGTTATTAGTTATTTTGCCACTCTGCCCACCGATCTTTCTACTCCCCATCCACCCCCTCCTTCCCCCCCCCCCAATTTAAGTTTTGTCAACAGTATTTTGATTTGTTGGGAAACATTCAATTCAAATACATTAAATATGTGGGGAGGGTAGGGGGCTGGGCTGGTGTGTTTGTTTTTTTATTTTTCAATTAGGCCTATGTATTCATTCGACATAGTATTGGGGGATTACATGACTTAGACAGATGTGATATTATGCGAATCTTGTATAACCTCTGGTGTGTTGATGAAAGAAATCAACAAAAAAATAATAATTTATTAAATTGTCAAGACTCTGAAGCTAAAATAATTTAAAATATCCACACGGCTGTGTCATGTCACGCTACGACTCTCTGGCACATCACTATGAGACAAGAGACTATTCACGAGACTATATAATTATAGCGTTATTAAATACTTTAAGGGGGGAGGGGGGTGGGGCCTGAAAAGGTGGGTTTTTTTTCGTGACGTAATTTGTGAAGGATCCCAAACACGTCTCCTAGATCTTTGATCCATTTGCTCAGCTGAAATCTCTCGCTTCCGGTTTAAGTTTAAATCAGGGGAGACACATTTTCCCCCGGGGTTGTCAATTACAGTTAGTGTACGGCAAGTTTGTTTCAATTGGGACTTTATGTAAGCTTATCTGTTCATATTTAACTTTTTATTGTGAGCAGTTATATCCATTTCCCACCCCCCTCCCCCCTCCCCCGGTCACAAATAATTAGAATGTGCACAAGATCTGTATTGCTATCTTGTTCAACTTCCACACAAAAAAATACAAGCATATAAATATAAGAATAAGAACCGTAACTCCTGTCAGTCAGTACATTAACATTCAATTATTTATTTATTTCAATGATTGAGATGAGTTTTGAAAAAAAAAAAAGGTAAAAAAAAAATAAATAATAATTTATCAATGTCGTCATCATAGTTCACTTAAATTTTTTGCTTATTCTCTAGCAGGGATTTTCCCCACAAAAAAATCCTGCTTCTGGTTAGCGAGTGTGGGACACAAAAAGTACCAACGAATAAAACAGTAATATTAATTATAGTTGAATGATTATTATATGTGTACTTGCACATATCTGAAGATGTGGTTTCCAAAAATAAATAAATGACATATGACATAAAATCTGAAATACACATGTGTGGAGACTATAAACACAATTGCTTGTGTGACCCAATCCTTTATCTCCCGAGTAGAAATCCCAAGAGCGAAGAACAATACTTTAAGAGTTCATTCTGAGCCTTCCAAAGAAAACTCGCTCTACCTGAGGCAGTCAGTGCATGTAAGCAATGTCGTTAAGGTACTAAGGTATGCAGTGGGGGCTGACTCACTGTGTGCAGCATTCCTGTCAACACCACTGCCGTCTGCGGCCCCTTCCGAAGAGAGAGAGAGATTACAACCTTTTCTCAAAAAAAAAAGCATCACTTGTACATCATCAGTTTATGATCCATGGTGTTTTGGCAGGTGAATGTACACAGATGGTATTGATGGCATATGTACAGTGATGGGTTAATGCAGCTGATAATTGAATACATTGTTTTAGTTTCCAACCCGAAAAAAAAAAATTGTCAAAAATTATTTTGTCATTATGTAAGGGGAGATTATGTAACAGCGGTTACCTCTGATGTCCAGAGAAAACAGTGGCTGGTCAAAAATGGACTAATGGTGTATATTTTTTCTGAATTTAAAAGTGATCACACTGGTTAAAGACTTAAAATTTAAAAAAAAACAAAAAATCATATGCAAAAGAAGCACAACATAAAATCACTCCATATTGCTTTAGTAGTAACCTTGTAGTCTCCTTGGCTTTTTTTTTTTACTGGTCTCATTAACAGGAAAAGTAATCAAATAAATAAATACAAACAAAATTTGTGTGCATAATCATTGGAGAAATAATGACACTATGGCTACGCTGTCAATATATCACAGATGTATCCCAAGCGCAAAGACAACTAAAGATGAGATTGATAGTGATCTGCTCTCTGGAATCTAATAAAACATCCTTATGGCATTCAACAGTTTCATTGCGCAATATTTATTTAGACAATCCCACTGTCTTCTTTTACATACAATAAGGTTATAAATATAAATGATCATGATTTTCACTTAGGGCCCATCCATACAATCATTGGATTAAAACTGGAAATAAAATTATGAAAACTATTCATTTCCCGGTACCTCTATGAGGAAGCCGCAACTCCCCCAGGGCAACACAACACCCCAGGTCAACATGGCTCCCTAGGGTGATGCAACACCCCAGGTCAACATGGCTAATTTGTAGTTGGGTGGGGGGGGGGGGGTTGTCCAAAAGAGTATGTGTGAAACAGGGGGATTGTCAAAATTTGACTTTTGTGCGTATCTACTAAATGGATGGCTCTCTTTCTCTAAATTTGCCATTTTTTGAAAACCCCAGGTCAACATGGCTAATTTGTAGTTGGGTGGGGGGGGGGGGTTGTCCAAAAGAGTATGTGTGAAACAGGGGGATTGTCAAAATTTGACTTTTGTGCGTATCTACTAAATGGATGGCTCTCTTTCTCTAAATTTGACATTATTTGAAAGAAAGTTTGAAAATGTGTAAATAAATAATAATTGCAATTTGTATGCTACTCATTCAATAGCTTTAAAAAATAAATGTTTTTTATATTGAATCAATACTGCTATTTGCGGTTATTTTTAAAAAAGAATCTTAATTCATGAACTAAAATTTTTAAAAATTATTATTGCCATCCACAATCATTCATGAATGCATATTAGTTTGATTATAAGACATTTTTCATTTTAAAAATAATAATTCCACAAAATAGAGATAATAACTAAAAATTTCTTCAAAAACATAATATTAGGTAAAACATATTTGATTAGCAGACCTGTTTACCCTCAAACTCTTAAAATCGTACAATATCATCACAAAGTCATTTAATACGTTATATTCATAGTAAAAAAAACATACAGTATATACAATCTATACACCTCAAAATCGTACATTGTACGCCAAAATCGTAAGAGTAAACAGGTCTGGATTAGTGTAGATGTTATAAGGGAAACCTAACACACATGATGTATTTAGATCAATAGAGAAAAAAAAAAAGTGGTTCCTTCTCTTATTCAGTCATACTTTAACTGTTCAAGAATCTTAATAGCTTTAAGTTAAAACTTCAATGATTCAAAGCTATGTGAAAAGGGGGCGGCAGGTGGACGGAAACACATTTCTTATTGCTGTGATTTAAAGTCTGTTTCCATGAAAATCTGACTCTAATCAGATTTATCCGATGATTTACAGAGTTCCTTCATACCATTGCAGATGACCATAGTTTGGAACAGTTTTAAACCTAAGGACTTCTTGATTCTGTTATAGAACAAATCTGGGTCATGGTGGTATTCAAATGCCATTCTCTGTAGACCTTTGCTGTCCAGGCAACTCAAACTAAAAAAAAAAAATTGAAAAAAAAAATTGAATGCACAAGGGACAAAGGGGTAAACTTTTCAGACCAAAAACATTTTTAAATTTAAAAATCATTAGTTTCAATGAAAGTTTAAATTATTGATGCACCATTCAATGTTGTCACAATTAACAAATGCATGTTTGTAAATACATTTTTAAAGGTTAAATTTGACTAAATTTCTGTACAGACAAGTGGATAGTAATGGTATTTTGTGTGCAGCATATATAACTTATTATATTTAGTTTTTTGGAGTAGTTTTGAAGAAATATTGTAAAACACCAGTTCTTAATTAAAGAATATTTATTTTGTCAGCAACAATTTTTTTAAAAATGTGCTGACATTAAGTATTTAGAATGTTAAATGATAATCGGATCTGGTTACCATATTTGAAACTAATAACAAGTTGTTGATATTTATAAGAAGAGCATTACTATTAAGAGAAAAGAAATAGAACAAAGGGAAGAGGAAGTGAAATCTAAAGTAAGTGTCGGTATGTAAGATAACATTCTTTTATTGATCAAAATAAATGGAAATGTTTTTTAATGTTATTGTACAAATTCACTTTCAGCACATAAGTGGATACATATTTTAACCAAAATAAAATTTTAGACAATTTAAACACAAGACATCTTAAGTATTTATCTAGCGTAGAAATCAGCCATCAATGAACCCCCTAAGTGACAACAATGACATAATTAGTGATCATTTAGATTTGGTAATCGCTGGAGGGAGCAAGCTGGTAAGTTCATACAGACTGGGGAACAAAACAATTTGTATATCTTTCATTCCTAACTTTAACAGAAAGAATTTGCCCTGAAGGAGGTGATCTTATACATCACTTAATCAGTTTGCAGATCATATTATTGCAGTCTGCTCACTGGCAATAAATAAAGGTTCTCCGGCACATACTTTTTCAGTGTTAAGTAAATAATGCACACCGCACCAGGGCTCAGGTGCTGGTACCTAAATAATGCCACCTACAGTCTGATAAAATACCCTGTCAATCTGACATGGCTGTGCTGAACAGTTGAGAATGCACTTTATGAACAAATACTGGTTTAATACCAGATTCCTAAAAACCAATAACCAGTTGGCAACAAAGAAAAAAAAAAACACACACACACACACAACCAATATATCCGGTAACCTCTAGTTATATAGTTAGAGATAAATAGAGGTGTAAACTTACTTGGGACAGACTTTATCAAAATTGTGTGCTTTCAACCAGGTAGACACCTCTTCTTTGGTCCAGGAACTAATCAATGAAATGGCTTGCTGGGCCCTGGTGCTGAGCGGTTCTGCTTGCTGGTCTTTCATCTGTGTAAAAGAGCTGGATGAGGACCTACGTGTCTTGGATGATGACACCCCAGACACATAGGATGAATGAGATACTTCTGAGCTGCATGTACTCACAGCATCATCGTCAACCTCTACTGAGTCGTCTGGCTCTTCTTTCATATGCACTCTGTCTATGTTTTTTATCTGACTGCCATTGTTTTGCTGTGGAGACACTGCCACAGAAATGGTGTAGCTGTTACTTGATGTTTGAGATGATGACAGACAGGGCTGAGAAATGTCTTGCAGGACTTTCTGTTGAGAGGCAGCCACTCTCTGTACAACGGGCTCCTTGGTGTGACTCGCACATGAAACTTGAGTGTCAGTGTTCTGTGGTCTTTTAAGGGGACCAGCAATTATCCTACTGATATCCTCCTTTATCTTGGCCTCAAGATTTTTAATGTAATCTATCTGTTGACTGTTTAATACAACCGTCTGGCCTGTTAAAGGGCTTTTTATCACTGGAACAGATAAGGCTTTGGAGGCGGTTTGTTGTTTCAGTGTTCCAATATTTGTAGTGAAAGACTTTGGAGATCTATGGGGTAAATCTGGCTGAGAACTGGGGTCTGGGTTTTCACAAGAGTCAGTATCCACACTAAGAACAGGTTGAGCTTCCTTATTTTTAACTGCATCTCCTAATTGTGGCTTGCTAATCCTATCTTCAATACTTCTAGATGTACTCTGAGAATCAACACAACTGTGAGGTACTTCTGGTGCATTAGGTAAGTGTCTCTCCCTCTCCACGACACAGCCATCGTCATCACTGAGGTCAATCACTTCCCTGAGGTTGAGGGTGACCAGTGTTCCGCCGCATTCCTCTTTAACCAGGGAAAGGTCAGGCTCTGGGGCGGTGTGCTCCGGGTCAGGGCCGGCATTGACCAGAGCTGGTGCGCCGACGGTAACAATGTATGGATTTCCCACTTCAAGCCCCAGGTCTAAATCACCACCGCACGCCCGATCAATCTCGCCACCTGCCTCGGTTGTTTTATCAAAGTTAGCAGCCACGTCTTCAGTGGGGGTGGGCCCTGAAGTGTGCCAGACAAATAACATTTCCTCTCTTTCTGGGCTTGCAACCCTGTGATTTAACCTTTTCAACTGTGTATACCTAGGAGGGGGCAATACAACTGCAACTTGTTTTGCCGTTGGTGTGTTAATGTTCAATGAACTATCTACATCAAGACAGGTCTGATTTCTATCAGATGTTAAAGGGGCAGATGACAAATCATTTTCCTGATCATTGCTGTTTGTTTTGCTTGGAAGAGCACCAGACCCTAATATCTGCATGTTGGCAGAGGAATCAGGGTTTGAATTTAGTGGTGCATCTATTCTTGCGGCTGCTATTTTCTCGTCACAGTGATGTGAATGTGTAAATTCATCTCGTGGAACCGCAACAGCGTGATTGTCAAATGGTGCTGATTGTACAGGTGATGAGACAGGCTGACCAGATATTTGGTCATCACCAGAAACGCAAGTGTCCCCCAGTTGCTTCTCTTTGAAGTGTTCTGAATCCTTTTCTTGGATGTGGATTATACATTTGACTGAACTCTCATGGGAGTCTTGGACATGTAATGACAGTACATTTCCTGGAGATGCACTGGTGTTGAGCCTGTAATTATTATCTGGAATTCTGTTATCTCCTGTAGATTCCTGAATCTCAGCATGTGTGTGGTGTTTGCTGAAAAACGCGTTTGTTTTTTCAGATATGGTGCTTAATGAAGCTGGTGTGTTGATGCTCGTGTGAGGTGTCATTGTGGACAACGCCTTATGGTTTGTCAGAGTGCAGTTTGTACTGGAAGCTGTCTCCAAGGCATAGTCTGTAACAACTGATGTTTCTGATAGATTGCTTGATGTACCTGTTTGTTGCTCTTCATAGGAGGAGTTCACTCCTGCCTTTATTCTCACCAGCTCAGCACAAGCATCTGAATCCGATGAAAAAGAATTTAAAGATGGTGCATTGCCACAATTGGTTTTAGAACTGGCGGTTGACATAACTGGCGTCCTATTGAGTTCCATTCTTGCATCCAACTGTTTTTCACCATCAGCACTTGGAGTGCTGGTCAGTCTAGTATTTCCAGAGTTCTCTTCATTGAGTGTTGCTGGCTTGAGATTAGCAGGCTGGGTTGATGGAGTTGATAAGTCTTGTGAATGTGTGGCGTCCTTAGTATGATAATGTTCCTGTTTAATCTGAGCTGGTGTAAGTGGATGATCATGAAACTGATGGCAGCTGGCTGCGTTGGACTTGGGTTGGCTTACACCATAACTGGAAGAGTCTTTGACCATTGTTGATTCAATCCCCAACGCCTTGGCCACACCTTTCTGGGGAGCATTACTGCCAAGATCTAAAGCGCTGACAAGTGAACTCAGGATAGGTTTAACATCTCTGGGTTTAACCTGTGTGTCAGTTATCATTGGTCGATAAGTGTTGTGGTCTGAGTAGATCCCCCCGTAATTGCTGGGTGGAGGCTGTATTCTATCACTGTATGATGCCGAGTCCTCCCTGTGATAAGTAGCCTGGGGTAGGCTTGGCTTTTGAGCAGCTTTCTGGGGTGACGGTGCGGTTTGGGCTTGCTTAGAGTTAGAGGAGATATGCAAGTGGCAAACTGATGGTCTAAAAGTGGGTGTTGAAAATATGCTTTGGTTAGGAGGCCCGTAATTAGGTTCTCTTGAATATACTCCATCTTCTGTAGGGGCTCGTGACTGCTCCTTGTGGCTGAGATCTAACGCTCTATGTAGTGAGCCCACCAAAGGTTTAACATCCTGTGCCAGGCTGTTGGGGTGTCTTTCTGGGTGTCTGGCATTATTGCCGGTAACAGGTGAGTCAAGGCACGATTGAAGACTGTGCATATGACTGCTAGTTGGATGATACGCTTGGACACTGGTCGTTTGATGCACTTGGGAACTGGTAGTTGGTAAACTGGGGGCTGGATTCCTGTTTGGTGGTTGGTTATTTGAAGGTTTATGACTCGGTCCAATCAACTCTCTCTGCTTGTTGCTTGCAGAATTCGGATGATTAGCACGATGATCCTCACTATTTTTTAAATTATGCTGAGGCCTATGGCCATAAGCAGAACTTGGAGAAAAGTTAGGCCCTTCTGAATATGTCTGATTAAATGGGATCGAAGCTTTGTTATTTGAGTTTGGATGATCTGGTCTCGGAGGTTGAGAGCGATGTGAGTCACCCCTTACCCTCTGATTATAAAATTCAGGTATTGAAAATTGGTTTGCACTAGAATTATGGCCGATATTTTGGTGATGGGAAGCTGAAAGATTTCTGAGCTCCAGTGAAAACTGTCCTTGGTTTCCGAAAGGAAATCTCTGCTCTTGATGATTGTGGGTATTTACTGTGCTCGTGCTGTGTGGGGGCAGGGACCCGAACATTTGACTAGGTGAGGGGAGGTTAAAATTTTTATGAGGCCAAGGACCTCTTGGGCTTGCCGTGTGTGTGTTTGTGTGAGAAGGTTGAAGCATGGCGTGCTCTCGCAAGTGGCCGTGCATCAATGAAACTCTGGGCTCTGAAGTGAACTTTGACCTTGCCTCTGTCAGATTAGGCATGGAATAACTGGGGGTATTTGATGAATAAGGATTCGTACACACCGCACCAGATGATACTGTTGAATAGCTGCCGACACTGCCTGCTGGGTTCAGCCTTTCAGACAGGGAGGGCTGCAGCTTTGTTGGGTACGAATGCATTTGTGGAGAACTTTGTCTGCCTGCAGTAGACAACTGCTCAGATTGACCGTAAAGGGCAAACTCACTTGCGTTGTACAAGGTGTTGCTCCTGATCTGAACACTGGGATGGTGTGGGGTGGGTGGAGTCCTGACACTTGAGCTCAACTGCATAGTTTCACTGAAGGGCACAGTGTTCTGATGATAATTAGGGTGAGAAGGGATGGCATGGGCATTGCTGCTTTTTCTTGACATTTCAAAACTCCCCGGACTTCTGCCATTCAGGGGCTGTGGCTGTAAATGCCCTGCGTTTGTCTGGTAGGCTGAAGGTGATGATGGTACAGAAATTTCTTTCAATGTTAGCGGGGAGTCCATCAACCGCTGATAGGAGGACGCATTCGGCTGATTAAATGTTTGAGAATACAGAGTCGGGGAGCTGGACAGGTGGCTTCTCCCAGGACTGAGGTGGCTATTCATAGAGTAATGAGAAGATAACAGGGGTGGAGGTCCTAAAGTCTTACTATTTGAAAGCATATTATATTCCGGTTCTCCAAGCAAAAAAGCTTTACTTGAAGCATGATTCTTGCCCCAAGCCTGCATTCCCGTCGAGTGCGCGTCACTTTGCCTCGCTCCTGGACTCTGTAAACTAGAGCTAGAAACTATTGGCTGTCGGGAACCAATGACTGAATGCTGCCCTTTCTCAGAGGGGCATCTGTCTTTGCTGGCCTCTCTTTCGTCAAAGAGTCTACTTCTGGCTCCAGATTCTTTGGACAAAGTTTGCTGCAACATTTCCTCCACTGCCCTCAGGCTGTCCAGCTTACTGGAAACTTTTGTGACAGCTTTATTATCTTCTGCTGTCTGTGGCGGGTGCTGGGCATTAAGCCTGCCATCAGCCCTCTCAAGGGGCGGAGGCGTTAACAAAAAGTTCTGATGCTTTGATACTGCCACATTATTCAGATCTATCTTAACATGCCTCGAGGCAGACACACCACAGCTGTCATTCAGGTTCACAACAAACTGATTAGGTCCATGCTTCCTTGTCCCTAATCCACTAACTGAGTTATCCTTAGCCTGCTCTTCAAAGCTAAGAGAGTCCACGTTGTGATTCTTGTAAGAGCCCTTTGGAAGATCCAAAGATCTTTCCTTGACTGGTGCCTTAGAGACTGTATTCACTCTCTGATCAGGCTTACTGAAACCTGAAGTTTGTTGAAGGTCCATTAAGAAATTAGGTGGTAATATCTCAGACTTTGGGATATCGGTCACCGCAGGTGCAATAGAGGGTGACAAAACATGTGTTTGTGTATTAGAGTTGACAGGGTCAGGATGTTGTTTCACATTTCCTAAAACATTAGAGTCCTTCGCTAGACCATTGTGTGACCAGTGAGGTAGAGGGGTTGGTAAAAACATGGGTGCAGGGGGCATCAGATTTGGATACAAATGCGGTGGAGAAGAGAAGTAGCCACCAGGCGAATCAAATCCCCGCTGTGACATGTAAGGTGGCCTATGTGAGGGTGGAAGTTGAGGATGAACACAGTGGGGTGCTGGCGGAATAAACAATGGCGGGCTTTCATAGCTGAGAGGGTGAGATGAGTCTTGTGAAAACAGGGGATTACATGGCAATCTTGGCTGACTAGAAGGAAAAGATGGATATTGCCCTTGTGTTAAGTTAGAGTGCATAGAAAATGTGTTTGTTAAGGGTGTTGACATCAGCAATGGTGATGGTGAAAAGAAATTGCTTAATCCTAAGTATTCAGAGGTGGATTTCAAGACTTGAGGGTCTCGATTATTATCCACTTTGTCTTTCTTGGCCTCCTCTGCTCTAGGCGAGCTGACCTTGAGTTCTTTCTCTGTGGTGCTGTCAACAATTTTTCTTTTTCTAGAAACTTTCTTTGAGGATTTCTCAGAGCTTTTATTATTGCTTCCTTTCTGCGCAGATGTGATGCACTCCTCATCTGTTGACTCATAGCCTTCCTCGATATCATCATAAGTTTCTGTGTAGTTCACCCTCTTTCCTTGTCTCGTGCTTCTCCTGGTCACTGCTGGGGTTGGGCTGTCAGGATCAGATGCTTCGGGGGATGCAGAGGTCACGGCGTTCCAGGAGCCACGGGTTTTATAATGTCTCCTCTCCTTTGACATTTTTGTCACGGATGGTTTTGATGCAGAGTCATCAGAGGTGGAAGAATCTTCATTTAAACTTTCCACTTCTGTGTCATCATCACTGTCCTCAACATTTGTGCTTGCTTCTGAGTCCAACATATCCTCTAAACCACTCAAAGGCGATGAACTGCTTACTACTGTATCAATAATGCTCTCAATGTTGGACAGAACTTTGTCATCGGTCTCTAAATTTTGTGTAGATTTTTCTTTGGATGTGTTACTGCTACTAGATTTGCTGGACTCATTTTTGTCCTCTTGGCTTAAAGTGGACAGGCCATTTTCTTGTTGCAAGGTCTTCAGCTTAAACCTATCATATAAATAAGAATCTCTGTCATGTTTATTTTTTTTTTTGGCTGGGGAAATTTTTTGTGGTGAAATGGCAATGACAACTCCTTCTTTTGGAGATTGACAACGTTGCTGCAACTGGTCAAAGATCTCCTGCTGCCTGTGGCGTTCACGTAAGCGAGCTCTTTGCATTGCTCTCTTTTCTTCCCGCCGACGAATTATCTTTTCCCTTTTTAACTTTTGTCTGCACCGAGACTCTTCTTTCTTTTTTTTATACTCCTCCGAGTTCCTCATTGTAACTCTTGACAAACTACTACCATCAGAGCGTCGAGGGTATTCAGCAAAAGATCTCCATGTTGATCCATGATTAGAACTTGGCTCATTGAGGTCTGTTTGGAACAAAATTGAAGTAAAATATATGAAATACATGAGCGATCAAGTTTGTTATATTTCAAATGTTTGACAACAATGATTACCATTGATTTTTAATAATTTCTTCAAGTTAATAGAATTACTAATAAATTAGTTTCCTACCAATCAAGTTTTTAATGGAAAGAATATATAGTTATAATTATTTACTCTTTGAATCATACATTCAAGTAAACAGAACTTAAAGAATAAATGTCATTTCTTTCTTCAAAGGTAAATCTGGATGATTTGAAATATATAAACTGTCATATTAAATTCAGAAGGTATGTACTGGTCTCTTTTTAAAATTTAGAACTTAGCAAGTTTTATTATGTATGAAATATTTTTAGACATACATTCATTCTGTGTTTACTTTTAGACTCTTCAGGCCCACCTTATTAGACATGTACACAGCTGAACCACAATAAAGAATTTGTGTTCGAGGACAAGGTTTAGTAATAATCACAATAATCTATGAATTTTATATTCTTTTAAATACAGCACTTTAGCTATAAACAAAAGACAATGAGACAAATGATAAAATAAAGTTTAATAAGCATTTCTTTTGCTGCCCGTGGATACTACGTCCAAGCTAAGTGCTATTTCTTATTTTTATTCCATTTTTCTGTTGTTTTGTTCACTGACGAAGGCTTTCTGCCGACACGTTCGTTGTTTTGTTGCATTTCTTTTTTCAGGTTTAACCCTACTCTGTTTTACTCATTTTATAAAATAAAGTTTGTAGTTTTCTCAGTAATAAAACTCAGTATGGAATATGCTATTCCACTTCTCTCTTCTGCTTTTATTTTTGCCTGCACCCAATGCATTGTACACACACTCTAAGCGAACTACAACACTGTTTTGAAGCGTATCCGGAAATTTGATCGAAAGAAATTTCGTCGACAGTAAATTGACTGATGGTAATTTGATCGAACGGAAATTTGGTTGAATCTTTTTTTCAGCTAAAATTTTGCTTCAAATATCTTTTTGTACGCATTATTTTGTTTTACTATATAGTATAGTGCATTCAAAAACAAATTTCAGCTAACTGTTTTGAAGAGACCTTTTAATTCTTAATTCTCATAATTATTTCCGGACGTAAAATCACCCATTCTATTAATCTGCTTGGTGTTGGTGGCATTCATCAAGCTAAGCCCCCTTTCACAGTCTACGTTTGATGCCATGAATGTCCCACCAATGTCCAACAAGCTTTTGCCTTAGCAAAAAGAAAAAGCTAGTTTCTGAAGTTCAAGAAAACTGTTTACTGATTTTGATTTCAATATTCTTTCAGCATAAACCTTGAAATTACTGTAGTGATTCATCATAGCTGGTTCAGCCAAAGTGAATATTTCTTATACAAAGAAAGAGACTTTCTCATTTCCAAATGCAAAGTCACAATGTGTTTTCAGCTTTGTTACAGAATTTGCTATATTGCTATAAATAAAAATTAATAATTTGGACCTAATGTAAATAGATGTATGACTATGAGACAAAAGGGAAGGAGATCAGTCTAAAAAGATTATACCCAGTTTCTTTTGTGCCAAAGTAATATGTGCACATCTGAAAAATAAAATCCAGCTGAAGCTGATAAATAATTTTATTGTAAAACATTTGTGCGTGTTAATTATTATGATTAAAATTATTAATTATAGGCCTAAATATGTCTATAATTACCATAATAATAGTTTTACTGCTTAAAAAGTGAGCATATTAAAAAAAAAATCTTGTTACTTTAGTTACATGAAATGGTTTAGTAAAGTGATTTGACTTAAAAATGACAATAGAAACTTTGGCCAATCTCTATTTAAGAACATGGTCACCTGACCCACTTCCCCCCCTTTTTTTTGTCACCTGCTATTGATTTTTTGGTAGGAGATAGGCCCACTGGGTATAATTTATCCCACTGAGCACTCATTAACTTATAAAGGCATTGATTTTTTTTTATATACGGTACAATTTAAAAAATGTAATTGGGTAACTTGTTTATTTATAACACAAGTTAATTTAACGTCTAGGTATCCCTATTTACTTTTTATTTTTTAATTCTATGCAAAATCTATATTTTTTAAAGGCTAAGAATCTGATGAAAACATAAGCAGCGATAAATAAAATATATACAAACAAATAAAAGTGTACTATGTCTTGAAAACCCGATTTGGAGTGAATTTATTAGACTAGAAACAACAAATAAATTTTGAAGCACCACGACCTGACAGCTGTCTAAAACGTTGGCACACTTTTTTTTGGCAACATATTGTATTGGTGACGCAAAAAGTCGGAATTCCACATACCTACTAAAGAGTGATTTCAGTGATGTAATTTTAAAAAATAGTGACTACCAATAATTAGTCAATACTGTACTACATCAATCTATCACCAATTAGTAGTTTGTGATAGTTAACTACCAATAGCTGCCTACAATCTACTGGTATTAGAGTACCAATAGCACTCAAGAAGCTATTAGTAGTTTACTACAAATAACCGTAGCCTATTTGTTTGACTACTTATAAGAGCATGATGTGCCTAAAGTTGGTATTTCAGACAATCCGCGCCATGGCCGCCATCTTGGCTGCCATGACTCGTGAAAGGTCACCCTAAACCTAACCTGAGCCCTATTCTTAAACCTAACCTGAACCCTAAACATATTCCTAAATTGAACCCTAAACCTATTAAGTATCAAGTTAAATAAACACATTCAATTCATTAATGACATCATGGCGCAAATTGTCTGCTTTAGCCCATGGGGTATATAGTTAAAAACATGTGATTGCTTATTTTGAAAGTTTGTGTGGGCCTTTTTAACCCTCTTGGGACGTAAGGGCCGATCTATCAGCCCAAGGTTGACTAGCGAGAAAGACGTAAGTCCGAGCCATCGGCCCGATAAATGGAGCCTCACGATTGGCTGGCTTGGCGTTGTACCAGCGAATCAAAATTATTTTTACATATTCCTGCACATCCCGGCATTGTAATGGCGGCATTCGTTGAAGGTGAACTAAATTTATTTGTGTGCAGGAATTTTTTTTTTTTTGTGTATAGTTATATCGTGAAATTTGAACATGTCTGACAGTGACTCTGATCAAACTGTGCTTAGTGATTTTGATATTCTTGCAGTGAATCTGACACTGAAACTGATGAAAACAACCAGGAAATTAATGAAGACTTTCAAATTGTGGCTAATGCTAATGTGATCTCTTGATTTAGTATTAATAGTACTAGGGGTCCTAATATGACCCCTCTGAATAAGGCATAAGCACCCCATTTGCGTACTTTATGCTATTTTTTTACACTAAATATCACTCAAATGTCTATGAGAGAGACCAACAGGTATGCAGACAACTTTCTCAGTAACATCTAGCTTAAATGGGAAGGGGGGAGGGGGGGGGTGTGTGCCCTGTTACAGTGAGTGTCTGTACAACTGAAAAATAGGGGGGGGGGGGGGAAAATGAGGAGAACCATGTGCCAGATGTATCATCTGAAGGGCCCCCATGGGCCTTGTTTCCCAAAAAAGACAACTTTCTCAGTAACATCTAGCTTAAATGGGAAGGGGGGAGGGGGGGGGTGTGTGCCCTGTTACAGTGAGTGTCTGTACAACTGAAAAATAGGGGGGGGGGGTGGAAAATGAGTAGAACCATGTGCCAGATGTATCATCTGAAGGGCCTCCATGGGCCTTGTTTCCCAAAAACATAAGTGTAGGACTTATTTAGGCTTCATCCATCAAAAAATTCACACAATTGATACAAATACAAGTAAGTCATGTTTATTCAAGGTGTAAAAAAAAAATCATGCTTAAATTATGCAAATTAGGGTAGCTCGTTTGCATAAATTTTGATATTTCAATTTGATTTATAAATATTTTATTACTTCATTCAATTACTACAAGACACAAGTCACAAGACTATATATAGTTTTACCTACTATATTAAGAAAATAGTTTATTTTTTATAAATTTTTTTGCAATGCGAATGCCAAGCTCGTAAAAAAAATCTCCGTCTTTTTGGCACATACACCCTGAAAAGGCTCCATCCTAAGAGGGTTAAGTTTGCTAAAGTGTTTTGATATCCATTCATTCATCTGTTGCACCATGACCACTCACACTGTGCTCTTCCTGCACTGATGCAAAATATGATTAGGGGCTTTATTTTATTAAGCTTGAATTTGTATTTTATACTGTTGTAGCTTAACTAGGGGTTGAAATGGCTAGAAAGACTTTGCAATTGTATGCTAGTAATTAGTTTTTGTAGTGTTGCGTTTGTTTTAAATGTGGTAAATTATAGATTTTTATTTTGACTTTGTACCGCGCTTCGAGCCTTTGGGGATGAAGCGTGTTTTTGAAATGAACTTTATTATTATTATTACTCATACTCCTTCATTAAGCTATGTCTAAGTATGAATTCTAATACTATTAGTGCCATTTACCTGTATAATCCGACCGCCCGCAGACAGGATCTTTCCGTAAAAACTCTGCGAGTTGGTCGCTTATTTCAATTTTTTCAACTGTGGGGTCAGTTGGGCTTACTTCACAAATAGAGACACATTTTCGTGCTGTGTTCATTTTCAAATAATTTAGTTGATACAATACGACTGGCCCATTAATAAAAGATTTTAAAATGGCTTAGATTTTTAGAGAATTTTAAATTAAGTCTTGTTTTATGTCTGTTTTTAATGTTTATTGATAATTTCGACTCTGCCATTATTCTGAATGCAATTTCCGGTGCAAGGGAGGGGAAACTACTTCAAATTTTTTTTAAAATATAAATATATTACAAAATATTATGTATATTTAAAAAAATCTTATAATAAAAAATAATGGATGGAACTAAAAAAATATGTTAGTACAAATGATGGAATTCTATAACAAATTTTGATAATTTCAAATTAAGAGGGTCGGAGATTTCACGCCGTTTTGAGCCCCTTTAATATTTACCAGGACCACGTACTTGTAAAAAACATGAGCCTACCATGGAACGCTGTACCAGTGGACCGTGGTCCCGTGGAGTAATACTATACAAGAATCAAGAACATTACTGCAGGTTTCGAAAAAAATTTCGCATCGGGTGGTCCGCCCAGATGCGTAGCGTGGTGGGGGCAGGGGGGAACAGATTCCCCGAGCGCCAGCTAGTTAGGGGCGCCAAAATGTGCTTTGATATTATTTTATTGATGAAAATAATGGGTTTGAGAGTTGAAAAAAAGAAAAAGGGGCGCTAAAAATGGATCTTGTCCCCGGGCGCGAATCTTGTCCCCGGGCGCCAAATATCCTCGCTACGCCACTGGGTCCGCCCCTCCACACCCTTCCTACGCCCCTGTACTGTACATATGTAAATTGCATCCTTCCGTCTTCTTGAGACGATGGAGTAGTCCTACACGTTGACGAGTGGCTCACTAGGCCAATCCTAGAATGACAAGCACGGCCGCATCTCTCGCAGGAGAATATTGATTCCCGGTAAGATCTTGATTTCCGAATTGTTATTTTTGTTTCAAGGGCCTCGTTTCAAGTATCTTCTGCCTTTTTTACTTCTTCAAACACTGCTGTTCGCCAGTTGGCGCGTTGTTCGGCAATGAACTCCCATTCGTTTTTTTTCAATATTGGCTTCCCTCATGCTTCTTTTGCAAACGTCAATAAATCTCAGGCGTGGCCGTCCAATATGTCTTGTCCCTTCTGCCAACTCTCCATACAGCATCGTCTTTGGGATACGTCCTTCCTCCATTCTCCTTACATGGCCTAACCAGCGAAGGCGCCTCTTGATAAGAACGGAGAATATGCTAAACATGTGTGCACGTTCCAAAACCTCCGCGTTAGGCACCTTGTCCTGCCATACATATGTATGGTCATGAAAATAAGGGGGGGGGGGAGGGGCGCAACACAGAAATAGATAAATGAGTTCGACTATTTATCATCTGTTACTAACGAAAAAATGAAAAAAATCGAAGTGGATTTTATTTTCTTTAAACTAACAGATACAGGGGAAAAAAATTGAAAACATGAAAATCTCAGTGTAAATTTAAGCCACCTTAAATTTTCCAGAAAGTAGAACTTGCTCATTGAACTCGTTGGCACAAATTGTGACTAATTGACGCATAAAGGTTGCATTTTTAATTATTAAGTGGGGGGGGGTTG